GTTGTGTCCAGCATGTTGTGTCCAGGCATGTTGTGTCCAGCATGTTGTGTCCAGCATGTTGTGTCCAGACATGTTGTGTCCAGCATGTTGTGTCCAGCATGTTGTGTCCAGGCATGTTGTGTCCAGACATGTTGTGTCCAGGCATGTTGTGTCCAGGCATGTTGTGTCCAGCATGTTGTGTCCAGACATGTTGTGTCCAGACATGTTGTGTCCAGACATGTTGTGTCCAGACATGTTGTGTCCAGGCATGTGTCCAGACATGTTGTGTCCAGACATGTTGTGTCCAGACATGTTGTGTCCAGACATGTTGTGTCCAGACATGTCTTGTGTCCAGGCATGTGTCCCAGACATGGTGTGTCCAGACATGTTGTGTCCAGACATGTTGTGTCCAGACATGTTGTGTCCAGACATGTTGTGTCCAGACATGTTGTGTCCAGACATGTTGTGTCCAGACATGTTGTGTCCAGACATGTTGTGTCCAGGCATGTGTCCAGACATGTTGTGTCCAGACATGTTGTGTCCAGACATGTTGTGTCCAGACATGTTGTGTCCAGACATGTTGTGTCCAGACATGTTGTGTCCAGCATGTTGTGTCCAGACATGTTGTGTCCAGACATGTTGTGTCCAGACATGTTGTGTCCAGACATGTGTCCAGACATGTTGTGTCCAGACATGTTGTGTCCAGACATGTTGTGTCAAGACATGTTGTGTCCAGACATGTGGGTTCCAGACATTGTTGTGTCCAGACATGTTGTGTCCAGACATGTTGTGTCCAGGCATGTGTCCAGACATGTTGTGTCCAGCATGTTGTGTCCAGACATGTTGTGTCCAGACATGTTGTGTCCAGACATGTTGTGTCCAGACATGTTGTGTACAGGACATGTTGTGTCCAGACATGTTGTGTCCAGACATGTTGTGTCCAGACATGGGTGTCCAGACATGTGTCCAGACATGTTGTGTCCAGGCATGTTGTGTCCAGACATGTTGTGTCCAGACATGTTGTGTCCAGCATGTTGTGTCCAGACATGTGTCCAGACATGTTGTGTCCAGACATGTTGTGTCCAGACATGTTGTGTCCAGCATGTTGTGTCCAGACATGTGTCCAGACATGTTGTGTCCAGGCATGTTGTGTCCAGACATGTTGTGTCCAGACATGTTGTGTCCAGACATGTTGTGTCCAGACATGTTGTGTCCAGCATGTTGTGTCCAGACATGTGTCCAGACATGTTGTGTCCAGACATGTTGTGTCCAGACATGTTGTGTCCAGACATGTTGTGTCCAGACATGTGTCCAGACATGTTGTGTCCAGACATGTGTCCAGGCATGTTGTGTCCAGACATGTTGTGTCCAGACATGTTGTGTCCAGGCCTGTTGTGTCCAGCATGTTGTGTCCAGACATGTTGTGTCCAGCATGTTGTGTCCAGACATGTTGTGTCCAGACATGTTGTGTCCAGACATGTTGTGTCCAGCATGTTGTGTCCAGACATGTTGTGTCCAGACATGTTGTGTCCAGACATGTTGTGTCCAGACATGTGTCCAGACATGTTGTGTCCAGACATGTGTCCAGGCATGTTGTGTCCAGACATGTTGTGTCCAGACATGTTGTTGTCCAGGCCTGTTGTGTCCAGCATGTTGTGTCCAGACATGTTGTGTCCAGCATGTTGTGTCCAGACATGTTGTGTCCAGACATGTTGTGTCCAGACATGTTGTGTCCAGCATGTTGTGTCCAGACATGTTGTGTCCAGACATGTTGTGTCCAGACATGTTGTGTCCAGACATGTTGTGTCCAGACATGTTGTGTCCAGACTGCTAATTCGTCATTCCTTGAAGTCTCGTATTTTTGTAATCAATGTTTTTCGAGAAAGACCCGTAAGGGAAGAAGGAAGGATAGAAGAAAGAAGGATAGAAGAAGGAAGGATGGAAGAAGGAAGGATAGAAGAAGGAAGGATGGAAGAAGGAAGGATGGAAGAAGGAAGGATGGAAGAAGGAAGGATGGAAGAAGGAAGGATGGAAGAAGGAAGGATGGAAGAAGGAAGGATGGAAGAAGGAAGGATAGAAGAAGGAAGGATGGAAGAAGGAAGGATGGAAGAAGGAAGGATAGAAGAAGGAAGGATAGAAGAAGGATGGATAGAAGAAGGAAGGATGGAAGAAGGAAGGAGGGAAGAAGGAAGGATGGAAGAAGGAAGGATGGAAGAAGGAAGGATGGAAGAAGGAAGGATGGAAGAAGGAAGGATAGAAGAAGGAAGGATAGAAGAAGGATGGATAGAAGAGCAATCCAGGAGGAGAGTTTTGTTGTGGGAAAGAGTTGGGGGGGGGGGGATAGGGGGGTAGTTCTGTGGCGAGGGAGGTGGATAGAGACTTGGGGAGGAGGGGGGGGGAAGAGAGGAGGTGTGGGTGGCGTGAAGGATAGAGGAGCAGTTGGGTATGACAGTGCTGTGAGGGAGATGGGGAGAAGTGTTAGTGGTGATGGGGTGTGATGGGTGCCAGGGAGGGGGGGGGGGAGGAGGGGGATACGTGTGATAAAGGGTAGTGGTGAAGGGGGGGACGATGAGGACCTTGATATAAGCCTAACGTGTATGAATACACTATGGCATCCTGTCCCCACGGCACAATTTATTTTTACAATTGTTATATCACATTAAATAGTGATGGGTGGGGATAGTGTAGCAGCGGCGAAGGGGAGGGGTAAGGGGGGGTAACGTGAGTCCTCGTGTCTACCTACGAAACCTGTTCATCTTTTCTCAATCCTAACGATTTAGTTTACATGTAATAACGAGCTTCAAAGCGCTGTAGGAGGCTGTTTATAACCATGGGTTGTGAATGACCTCGTAGCGTGTCGGAGATCGTAAGCTGTTTAATCAATCGACTCTAAGCTGCCATGATTGAGAGAAGATCTACAGGCTTCGTAAGGGGACACGTAAATGGTTTAGGAAGCCTGGCTCTGAACGGCGGTGTCTTGTGTTAACTGTCCAACAGCACACACCTCACTAATGAGACAAACTCCTAGCAATTGCTCGTTATCAACAAAAATTACAATTTTCATTCGTTATCTTTACCCTTCCCCCCCAAAAAAAAAGAGATATTGCATTGCATTGCAACATTGCAATCCAGTAATTAGATCACAGGCGATTGACAAATGATTCACATACGCATCTCTCTTACTCTGGCCGTTATTAAAGGCCCTAATGACTCTATCATTACCTCACAATAGAGTCAAATTGGCCACGATTCGTAATGCCTAGAGATTGGTAACTATTCTAGTTATAAGCCGGTCTCTCACGTGACGTTGTGAGTGGTTTTTTTTTTAGGTGGGTGATTAAATGTGGGATTATGGTGTGAAGGCGGATTAGTGGTGGGGATTAATTTTTATATGCTTTGTATCGTGGTGATATTTTTATGTAATGGGTACAGAGTTAATGTTAATTAGAAGGTTTGGATTGGAATTTTGTTTCTCTCTCTCTCTCTCTCTCTCTCTCTCTCCCTCTCTCTCTCTCTCTCTCTCTCTCTCTCTCTCTCTCTCTCTCTCTCTCTCTCTCTCTCTCTCTCTCTCTCTCTCTCTCTCTCTCTCTCTCTCTCTCAGACCATTTGCAAAAGATGAAAAATGCTCTGAAAAGTGGTCATAGGATGATAAGTAGAAAACGTATGTTAAATTTTCCCAAGATCTTGGCATAATGTTTTGTAATGCTTAAATGAAAATTGTTTTAAAATAAAATTGTTTAATAAATTTCAAAACTATTTCACCAGACGGGAGCCAGTCGGTGGAAAAATCTGATGGGGTGGAGGGAGTATGTGACTGGCAAGCTGTTCTCTCGTGACTTGTCGTGACCTCCCACCCGACTATGTTGGGCACATACCCAACAGGAATCGCAGTGCCAAGTTTGGTGAGGCTGGCTCCAAGCATCTGGCCTCCTACTTTGAATAGACACACATTCTCTTATAGATATACACACACACACTATATATATATATATATATATATTATATATATATATATATATATATATATATATATATAATATATATATATATAATATATATATATATATATATAATATATATATATATAATTACCTCCAACAGTGAAAAGAAATGTACGAAAGATTGAGAAAATTCGTGTTAGAATTATTAATCTTACTTTTTCGGTCATATTTAATAATATATGTCTACAGGAAAGACTGCTACCAAAATATACTAATATATATATATATATATATATGTCATACCTAGTAGCCAGAACGCACTTCTCAGCCTACTATGCAAGGCCCGATTTGCCTAATAAGCCAAGTTTTCATGAATTAATTGTTTTTCGACAACGTAACCTACCTAACCTAACCTATCCTAACTTTTTCGGCTACCTAACCTAACCTATAAAGATAGGTTAGGTTAGGTTAGGTAGGGTTGGTTAGGTTCGGTCATATATCTACGTTAATTTTAACTCCAATAAAAAAAAATTGACCTCATACATAATGAAATGAGTAGCTTTATCATTTCATAAGAAAAAAAATTAGAGAAAATATATTAATTCAGGAAAACTTGGCTTATTAGGCAAATCGGGTCTTGCATAGTAGGCTGAGAAGTGCGTTCTGGCTTCTAGGTACGACATATATATATATATATATATATATATATATATATATATATATATATATATATATATATATATATATATATATATATATATGTATAAATGAGTCGTTATGAGAATAACGTCGACATCGACGGCCAAGATACACAAGTGTACCGCGAATGTAATTCTTGATATTTAACTTTCAATTTTCAATTTCAATTTCCCCGAGTTATTGATGGTTCATAACGACGCTGTCTTGATAGACATGGAGGGTAGAGTTGTGAGACGCTGAGGGAAGGAGAACCCCCTTGCAATACCTGCAAGGGAGGGTTCATAACCCCACAAACAACCGCGGGCCCACGGGACAGGTGGACTCACATAGACAGAGCCAGGGACAGATATTGGCGGTGGAGGGACAGGCGGACAGACGGGC